CCTCACATTTGTATATATCTGCACATTAGTTCACCCAGTTTGTATTTCATGTTTAGCTTGACTATACATGCCAAGTTGATAACTCACTTTACTGCAAAAGTTGAGCACCACATTAATCAACATGTTAGCATTTTCTGAAACTATTTCTTGTAATTTTGATTCTTTATTTGTTTTATCCTCTTTAATTACTTGGCATTGTTTATAATTGCAGTAGCATGTGCAGCATCAAAAGAAGACAGGCTTTACTTTGCTAAATTTTTAAAACGTACAAAAAGTAGCTCATGCTCAATGAAGTTTATGCTATAATCAGAAGAAAAGATTGGAAAAGGGAATTATCATGAAGTAGGCAAATGTCATATAAAAAGTACCATTTTTTTTGTATCTCATAATTGTGAGAATATGTTTTCTGGGTTTCCAACAGATGATGCATTATTTCATTTTTCTTTAACACAAAGAGGTCAAATAGAAACTTAAAAAAAAAAGGCAAACAAAAGAGCATAACAAAAATCCTCTTTTCTGGTCCCTTTTCTTCAGACTAGGCATTTTGAGTTTGTTTTGTGAGATGGAAAGTATTTTAAAGGCAGATTGTTCTTTCTGAGGGACTAAGTACTTCTGAAAATCTTTCATCTTCAAATTCCCTTTAAAAACTTAATGAAAGAAAACATTTCTGACATTTGTTTTTTCCGGACTTTTTTTTCTGTCTTGTGGCATAACAAACTTTAGAATAGAGATAGATTTCAGTACACTTCTGAAACATAGAAGAAATAATAGTAATAATAATTAATAATAATGTGACACTAGCAACTATTTCTAAGAAACAGAAAAAATTCCTCATTTTTTTTATTGCACCACAAAACCCAACATGCTTTCTTTTGGTACATGGGAAGTATATACACTTTACCAGTCTCCCATTAGAAAAACAGAAATTAATGCATATGTTAGCATGACCGAAATGAGAACACAGACAAATATATGTAGAGTATGTCACCCAACTTGAGCCTCAAACTAGATTTCTCATTCTAACAATAATTCTTAAAAAAAAAAACAAAAATTTTTATTACTGGCCTGAGGCAAATTGAACTGAGATTATGCTTCTCAGGGGAAAAGGAGCATTTTCTGAAGCAAATATGCAGCTTATCTGAGTATGCAGTAAAATCTAAAGATATTTGTCCTCTGAGTCATATTAGCACAGTCCACAGAATTCCGCAGTTCCTTCTCTAGTGCATGGATTACCTGAATACATGACAGTATTAAGCTTCCCATTAAGCTTTCTATTACCAGATTTTAGCTGCTCTTAAATTTGGCTGTGATGGTCCTATGCCTTATTAGACAATTTCAAGCATTCTTTACAAACTTTGATTAAGAGAGTGGCTTTCACAGGTCCTTATGGCTCCAGATTTTGATTTCAAGCTTCATCTTTTTGACCCTTTGGAGTCTCTATGGTCTAATTCTCTTATATCATAATGATTTATGATTTTCTATATTCAGTGTAAATGCTTTCAGTCCTAAGTCTCTGGACATCTATTTTCATGTATTGAGTGAACTTCAGAGAGACACATCCTTAAAATATCATCATGTTAATCTCTCTTTGGAATACTTACATGCATCAAAAGATTTATTATTATCATTATTATTTTATAAGATGCTAAGTTTGCAATAATTGCAGGGAACACTCTACTGACTCCTGATAAAAATATTCAAGTATCTTGGTTGATTTCTGCTCTAAGACAGATAAAACCAAGGAACCAACTGTTGAGAAACATGCAAAAAGCAGAACTCAGGCAGTAGCTGCCTTCTGTGATATTACGGACTGAGAGCAATACAACCAAACTAAAAGGAAGGAAAGGTGCTCAGTAAAAGTTATGTAGTATAAATCATTAGGCAGACACAGACAACAGCCATGAATATGGTAAAAGCTGCAACATGAGAACAGCTAAATAGATTAGAATTGGCTATCCTGCAGTCTCATAGCTTGGTTGCAGACTGGAAAACAAGAGGTAGGTTCTCCTATGACATAAAATCTGGCCCCCTGGCAAACAGCTGCAAGACTTCCTTTCTTAAGTGTTATAAAAACAATTGTTTTTCTTCCCTGAACCTTCACTGAAGACTAGTTCTAAAACCAAAGAACTGGCATACTGGAAAGGGGTCCCAAGACACAAGTCTTGACTTTACAGACTAAGATTCTGAACTATACAGCTGCAGAAGGCCTGTGGCAACTCACGCCATTCAAAGGTTTCCCAGAGTTCATCCTCACTGAAGGTAAGAAACCTGTAGAGTCTCTTTTTAGATTAAAGCTATCATCTAATGGTTGAAAGAGAGAAATGGGCATTTTAAGTCCCTAAATCTATTCTTGGCTATGCCTTTAACTCACTTGTTTGGCTCATAATATCTTTTGCTCTAGACTGAATATCCAGTAGAGAGGGCAGATTAGTAACGCTTTCATTGCAACTTTTTCTGAGATTATTTAGCTTTCCAAGTGCTCTGATATACTCAGAATAAAAGGTTTTAAAACCAAATTAAGTTCAGTAAATATCTTTCATCACCTAAGTTTACTATCACTACAACCAGTAAAGATGGGAAAATAGTAGTAATAAGGCACAGTAGTTTCTCCTTCATTCAATAACCCATAGTTCTAATAATATAGGATATATATCTACAACAATAAAACCAGAAATTTGGTTGAAGCAGAACCATCTCTGATGAATAAAGAAGTTTTTATATTCCTGCTCCTTGTTCATTAGGATTTTATTAATATAAATATTTCAACAATAAGAAGAATGCATAAAAATATTTCACATTGCTCTTTCCTACATTAATGAAACAAACTCTTAGAAGAACTAAAGTACTTTCTTCTCCAGGTACAGTTATTGACAAGGTCCTACTATGGCTGCAAAACTCTTGACTCAAGACAGGTAACTTTCAGGTTTCAATTCACTGAAACTTAAACAGAATAGAACAGAGACTTTATACCCGAGTCCTTTGTCTTCCAAGAACACCGAGTTTATAGCAGATTTCTACCTTAGGTTGGTTTCCATTTGTGCTAATTGGTAATAGCAAGACAACTATGTACTCCAAAACTAAGTGGGTTTTTTTTGAAAACATCAATGCAATAATTTTCTAATTCATAAAAACAAACAAACAAAAATTTCTACAGCTGAACTGGTAACTGTTCTGTGACATTGCAGAGACAATGTGCTAAGACTTGCAGTAAATTACAAAACCCAGTATCATTAATCTCAAATCAGTTATAATGAAGAAATTTTGACATGAAAGTTTTTTCTTCTTTCTCATGGCACTTCCTGAGAAAATTAGAGCTATGCATTTTTCATTTCAGAACATGGGAACATTTGCTGCAAAACAAAATACGGCTTTCTTTAACAGACGTCAGTATGGGATAAACAGGGATGACTGGGACAGAAAACCTTTAGATTGTGCTCTTTCCTATGTAGTCAGGAATAGATCAAGACCGTATGTCTGCTTTTTTTGTGTACCATCAGGGGGAGACAAATATTTTGAAAAACTTGCTATAATTTTAAGTTATTAGGTTCATTCTTAAAGTTCAGCTGAGACAAGAACAAACCTGTTGGACATTTTCAATCTAATGAAAACACAATTCTACCAGCAGGATAAATGTTAAAAAGAGAACAAATCCTGGAAAAAATCCTGCATAAACCCTTACAAATAGAAAAAGGTAATAAATTATACTTTCTTTGGTACTGAATTACTGCAAGTCTAACGAATAGACCACAGATGATGACAAACCTCATAATTAAGCTTACTCTCTGAAATGAAGGCATGTAAAAATTGGTTTAATATGCAATAAAAACCATGTCTTTTTCTTCTGCTTCTTTAATATTCTGAACAAAATTGAGTACACGTTTCTTGGTGTACAACATTAGGCCTGGCCATTAAGCACAACATGGCTGAAAGCAAACTCTTGTTTTTCCTTTGAACTGCATTCATTCCTCGTCAGTGGGGAGGTTAATGCCACCATCTGTCATTCACAAGCAGAATCTGTCTTCTGCAGTTCTGGCCACTTCAAATTTTCACCCATAATACCCCCTCAGTGACAATCCACCAGTAAAATTGAAATTACCAGGAAACAGCACCCCAATGTTCATCTTCTGATATTCACCTACACTTGCTAAGACTTTGTTGCAGTTTCTCATTGCCCTGCAATAATATTCTTTCTTCTGTTTTTGACAGTGTTATCCATTCAGGAATACTCATACCAAGGTTATCTTCCCAGCACACTGCGGTGAACGTGTCACCCTGCTTTCTACATGTTTCTGCAATGTTTCTGTCCTTCACCCACATACTAACTACTACGCATCATCTCATTCTCCTTCAGGAAAGCAATGTCCCATTTTGATGTTCCCACTACACAAAACCTACCACCTAGATTTGTTCGGGTATAAGAAAAAGGCCTCACATGCTTTCCCATATGTTTCTTTTCACAAATTGGGTATCTGTAAAGCACTTCAATTTATTCAGAATCGTCCCACTCTAGCTTCAAAGCCTGACAGCTGCTAGGCTGCTGCCATGCTAAGATGAAGAGCACTCTTCAAGCTTACTTCACCACTTCCTGGTGGTTCCCTGTATTCAATTATTAGCTCCTTATGTATTTAGATTTTAAACTTATATTTTTCTGTGCTGTACAGGACCTGACACACTGGACTCCTGGGCTCATAGTGAGAGTTCCTATGTGATAAAAATAAAACCCACCATAAACCTGTCAAGGACACATCCACATCTGTACCAACCTTGCCTCAGGAAGCTCATATTCTAGAACAATATTGTAAAAAAGCTGAATTATATATATTTTTGACCTATAAATTGTGTGAATTTCAGCACACACAAGCAACACAGAGACAAACACACCCCGGTGACTCACATTAGCAGTAGGGCATGCAGACCTACACAGCTGCCTTATCAACATAGAAACATCCATGGCATATGGCTGTAGATAACTGCTGAAGGGAAAGATGAGAGTTACTTACCACACTGCAGCCAGGGCAGTCAGGACCATTTTCACATGTCCTACGCCGCGCCTGGATCCCTCCTCCACACTGAGCAGTGCAGCGCTCCCATGGACCCCAGCCTGTCCAAAACACATGAGGGGGGCACAACAAATGCTCATTGCAGTACCTGTGAGAAGAGGCAAACAAGGAGGCAAAGAATCTATTTAGTACCAAGACAAGACCTCCCTCAAAAGTCCCTCTTTGCATTATTCAGATAAATGTTTGTACAGGAAAATATTTCATACAAAGGGCCCCTCTCTATTCATGTAGCACTGAAGTAACAGTTGTCACAGTGCACAAAGTGTTTGAACACTTAAGATCTTTTTTAGGCTGTAATCGTGTGGGTGAAGCATTTGTTTGCTTTATTCCGTGCCTTTATACAATCCATGCAATACAAACATGCTATTGCACTGTGAGTATGTGAGCAAGGTTGACAACTGCTGTATTAGAACAGTTGTGGTTATACATCTGAGGCAGAAGTGAGTCGACCAAACAAAAGGCAACCATTTATGCAGAAATCTTTTATCAGTTCCAGCTAAGCATTGATTAGGATCCATCGTTCTCCTCTACAGAGGAGCTTTTTGTTTTCTACAGTGTCTCCACTTTTATGGGTAAAATAAAAGCTAAGACATTGATTCTAGTCATATAGAATTGTACTGTTTTCATAATGTGATTACTTTATCTTCAAAGGGGTATTTTTAGCTGTTAAAATCTTTAAAGGATTTCCCAGTGCTTCAAACTGACTCAGAGGTCTACTAGGTTCTTGAGCAAAGCAGGAATATTTTACAATGAGCTGTCATTACTGTAACAAGACATTCAAACATGTGAGATGGTCCCAACTTTTTTGTAAGTTTTTAACTTTTTGTAAAAACCTAAGAATCCTGAGTTTTTGAGTGTGCCATACAATAACCCTAGCTGTAACATAAGCTGTTTAGTAAGGACTCTTTATAAACACCTGAAGGGTTTGGGCTACCAGCAAACGTGACTGGGGCTCTGGAAGAGACTGAGCTGTTATTTCAGATAAAACAAAGCCATGACAGATATTCAGAAAACAGATGACCCTGAAGGAGTGCTCTAATATTTTATGGATGTGGCTGGCTGGCTCTTGTTCTGAATACTGACTGTCCTGAACTCACAAATCAAACTGTTACAATGTTTCTTCATTTTTTATACCAGCCATCAAAAATCCACTGTCTTCTTGTCCTTCTAACAAGTCTCCATCACTCTGAATTCTCCTGAGTGACTCAAATAATTCAGAAATTAATTTTCTACAAAAAGAGAAATGATAGTATAGACAGCTGTAATTTTCAACAAGAATAACCAGAAAGACCAAAGATCCTCAAGCTCTAATTCTTAATTACCAAGGAATCTGCACAATCAGAATTCCATGGTGCCATGGTTTAAGCTCAGCCAGTAACTTGGAACGATGCAGCCGCTCGCTCACTCCCCCCACTTCTTCCTCCCCCCACTGCCGGAGGGATGGGGAGGAGAATCGGAGGAATGTAACTCCCACGGGCTGACATAACAGCACTCCAGTAACTAAGGTATAATACAAACCACTACTACTACTAATACTAATGATAAGGGAAATAACACCGCTCACCACCCGCCGACCGATACCCAGCCCGACCCGAGCAGCGATCTGGGCCTTCCAGGTGACTCCCCCCAGTTTCTATACTGGGCATGACGTGCTGTGGTATGGAATACCCCTTTGGCCAGTTTGGGCCAGGTGTCCTGTCTCTGCTTCCTCCCGGCTTCCCCTCCTCCCTGGCAGAGCATGAGCCTGAGAAAGTCCTTGGTCGGAGTAAACATCACTTGACAACAACTAAAACCATGGGTGTTATCAGCGTTGTTCCCAGGCTGAAAGTCAAAACCACAGCACTGCACCAGCTACTAAGAAGGAGCAAAAATGACTGCTGTAGCTGAACCCAGGACACATGGGAAAAAAAAGTTGTTTGTCTATGTTATATACAAAAGTAGGTTCACAGATGCTGGAACCTGTGATTTATAATATGTCCCTAGGTCTGAGGAAATGCCATAAAAATTTAAAAGCTTGGGCATGGAGTAAATAAGGGAGTGACATTTAGTTTTGTGTTTCTATATAGTTAAGGAAACTTGTAAAAGCTTATATTGACCTGGCTCCCCAGTACGAGACATGGAGCTCCTGGAGCAAGTCCAGAGAGGGACTACTAGAATGATTAAAGGTCTGAAGCATCTCTCATATGAGGAAAGACTGAGGGAGCCAGGCCTGTTCAGCCTGAGAAAGAGAAGGGGGAGATCTGATCAATGTGTATAAGTATGTGAAGGGAGGGTGTCAATAGGATGGGGCCAGACTCTTCTTAGTGGTGCCAGGCGACAGGACGAGAGGCAATGGGCATAAACTAAAACACAGGAAGCTCTACCTGAACATGAGAAAGAACTTAACCATGAGGGTGACTGAGCATTGGAATAGGTTGGCCAGGGAAGTTGTGGAGCCTCCTTCCCTGGAGATACTCAAGAGCCGTCTGGATGCAATCCTGAGCAATGTGCTCTAGGTGACCCTGCCTGAGCAGGGAGATTGGACTAGATGACCTGTAATGGTCCCTTCCAGCCTCAACCATTCTGTGATTTTGGTACCTGGTCTTCTATTTGCCAGTAATATGAGGAAAATAAACCCACATCCTCAACATTTATGAATCCACTATCTCAGAATTCTTCAGTGCGTGACTTGGGTAAAAGGTTTTTAAGTTAAGCTTATACATAAGCTATGGGTTTCTTCCTCCTGCCTGTTCAGTATTTGCAATTCACAGTTCACATATGCCTACACTAAAGATGCATAGAAATGTTCTGCACTTGGATATTCTTCTTCTAAAACTCCAACAGCTGCACACATTCTTTGTCACATGCAGTCATTTATGTGAATGTTTGTGATAGTTTGCCTCTGTGATCATTTGTTGAGAATAAGCACCGAATGATAGATGTAACATCACCATTTATTTAGTGAAATGAGTACATATTTTGCATAATTTCATTAGGTCTTAATGGAGATATGCTAAGTTAATTTGGAACACACATAGGATAAAGCAAATCTGCCATGAAGTTGAGAACTATTAATATTCAGTCATGAAAAAAGTAAAATTAAGGGTGGCACTCATCTCGCCTTAAAATATAGGCAGGGACAGTGTAGCTGTTTATAAATGAAGGAAGCCACCTAAACTTGAGTAATAGTTCATGCAAAGAAACAACCCTTTAAATACATGATTTATGTCACCCTAAAGCAAATGTCAAATGTAGGTAATACAAATACAGCCCTCAATATACTGATTTTTCTCCATTGACTACAGAAGCTGTGGGGGAGACAGGCACCTAAGTTCCCATTACAGCCAAAGGAAATTTTGTCAATACAAGCTATGGAGACTAGAATGATTAATTTGACCAAATTTAGGAATATACAGTAGCAGGAGACAAATCACCCTGTTCTCCGCAGCCTGTATTGACTAGATTACTACAGACCATAGTGGAAATTCAGACACTAGACACACACATAACACTCACATTTGTAGACTCGTGAAGTTAGGTGTGACAACTCTCACTTAAATGACACCCACAACACTACACAGTGCCACTTTTAGTGTCAATGTGACCTATCGCCTGCTCTTTCACACTTAAATGCAAGACAGAAAAGAAACCTAACTGACACAGTAAGCACTTCAAAGGTTGGCAGTTCTGTTAACCAACACTATTTAAAGATGCAGTTGAAACTACAAGATGAAACTGAAAATAGCCCTCAAATGTCTATGCAAGCTTCTTAACTTCAATTTAGGGGTTTTTTTAAGTCAACAACAGAAGTGAGTGTCAAGTTTTCCTTTTTTCATTTTTTTTTCCCCAGATAAAGAAACAAACAACACAGCATACAAGTAGAATCTTATTTTCATTTCGGCCAACCAGCCTCTGAAAACACCAGGTATGTTTTCATAGCTAGAGACATCCCTGCAATTGATCTTTGAGAGCTGTGCTACAGCATGGGGCTCTGAGCCAAGTTTCATTATATCTCTTCTTGGCTGCATTTCAAGTAACTCAGTAACCATTTTTCCCTTTTGCTCTTTCTTCCCTTCTTAATTTTGTTCTCAGGACCCACAGGGCTAACATTTTACAGTAATCCAACAAAACATGCAATGCAAGATACATGAATCTGTGAAATCACTGCCCTCTCCCCTAATCTAACTGCACTGAGGTCAGAAGGGAGAACAGTCTCAAGAAACGTGGGGTTTGTACAGTGACCCTTCCCATTTTCCCTTGCAGTGAATCCAAATTCAAATACCCTGATAAAAGAATTGTCATACTGGGGGAAGTCCAGTTTGTCCACAACCACTAGTTCCTATAGTAATGTTTTCATTTTTATTCCATGCAATTCCAGTACAACTGGAATTACTAATTCTTATTCCCATGAAGATCTCAACCTTTAGTAACACATCAGCTTATGCCAGTGTTGCCATGTGGCACTGCATGCTACAGGCTAACTGCATGACAGTTACAAATGTGTAACATCTCCAGAGAGATGCTATTTGATTTAAACATATAGTTCTTAAGTTTGAACAATATTATACTAGCATGTATTTAAGAAAAACAAACTAACCTTCATCACTGTCTGACCATTCCTATGCAATATACTGTTATGTGGTAGGTGACTATCAGCTGGTGACTTACTGGGAAGCACAAACTATATTGAGGTTGATGGGAATGCTGGATTCCTTTAATTGAAGGCAGGCACATAATGCACACAGATGCCTTACTGGATTCAGATTGCTGAATTGACAGGAATCCCTCCCCAGGAGATTGTGGAAGGTTGCAGGGGCCAGGGCATGTACTCCCAAGGGCTTCTGTGGAAGAAGAGAAGGGACTAAAGAAAGCAAAAAGGATGGGAGTACACACTTCCCAGCAGACAAGACAGCCATGGGAGCACAAGCAAGCCCAAAGACTTGTGGTATTTGATTTGATCTGCTCTGCTCTGCTAAAGAGGACCAGGCTTGTTCACGCTGCTCAGAAACAGGCAGTGCTACACAGAACAGCATTTAACTTTCATCAGTTCCTCCTTCTCATGGAAACAAGCCCAAAAGCTCTGAATATTTGCTGAGGATTGTGTACTAAAAAAAGGTGACAATATTTACTGCTTCTAATCTTCTTATAAACCCCCAAAATTTCCACGGCTTTCAAACATTTACTCTTCATCTGCAGCCAATTTATTTTTCTACTTCTGATTTGCCATGCTTTCTTGCTTCCTTTTTTCCTAGGTAATAAAAGATAACTGCATTTACTAAAAGCAAGGAAATCTTATCCTAATGTCCCTCATTTCTGCACTGGTAGGAGAGAGACCAGCAGACTTAATGAGCCCACATCCACAGCAATTTCCACAGAAAGGAGAGGACAAACATTTCCACTCAATGAAAAAGTCAAGTCAGGATACTATAGACTCTATAAAGTAAAACCTAGGGAGTTTTCCAGCAGCTTTGGTGAAGATTTCTCATACAGAAAAAAAAAAAAATAAATTTTAAGCCCCTAAGGAATTAATCAGGATATCTTCCATCTGGAGTTTAAACTACAAAATTATTTCATCTGATTAGCAAATTTAGTTAAAATACTATTTTTACTCACTCTCCATATTCTGTGTAAACACACATCAGCCGCACTTTTGACCTGTTTCTACAAGGCGAATTTGCTTTGTAGTACGAGTCTTAACTGCTATTTCTCAAGTGTTTCTCCCCCTCTCCTACCCCCCACTCCCCTTTAGCAGAACCTCAACTTATCTGCAACACTTTAAATTGGTAAATACTGCCATTGATTTCAGGGGACTTACCAGCAAGAACAGAGCTGCCTGATGCATTAGCCATGCTAGGATCATGGCTTTCATGGGCTAAACCAAACATAACCTAGACAAACATTTAGCTCTTAACGTATGAACAAATACTCTTAAACTGAATATGCATTCATAACTGCAGGTGAATTTACGTCAGTTATACTCTGCTTTTTCTGAGTTTGCTTTCTATTGAGTTATGCACTGGACTTCTATTGAAATCACTGTTTTTTGAAAAGCTGTTTCAAAGTTTGACACTGTTGGCTGCAGAAACTGAATACTGTGTTTATGCCCCTTGAACATGTGAAGGTGACGTGAATATGCACTTTTATAAAGACAAATGCACACAATGTGTATACCAACTAATTCTAATTTTCACAAAGACTACACATATATTCATTTTACCTATGAGCTGGGCCATTAAAGAAGTAAAATTTTAGGCTATTTATAAGCATTGATTAATTTAAATGAGAAAACCTGAGAAGCTGCTTATAGGTACTCTGGATGCAAAATCCAGGTAAACATTTCTTACGAGTTATTGCATGTGGAATACTTGCTCAGCCTGCCAAAATGTTCTGGTCCCAATTCTCAGAGGGACGGTTCCCATTGGGTGCAGATGTAGCTTCAGTAGTACAAAAGTAAAGCAGTGAATTAGAATCACTGTAAATACTGGTACTCCATTGTCCTCACAGCTGAAAACTCTCTACAGGCTGTTAGAGCCCTGAGGACACCATCAATGCCCTAATGTCCCCAACCAGCCTCACCTGGGACCTCTACCCACACCCCATGGTCCCAGGAGCTATATAAGCTCTCTGTATAAGCTCTGCCAGGGACTGTTGACCTCTGCCTGAACTGTGCTGTTGGAGAAGTGCTAGACCTTGTCCCTGGACCACCATGGAGCCCCTAGACTTCAATGTGTGGACTGGCTTCTGGCCTTGGCCCTGTTGCTACAGACCTGCCAGTGACCACTGAACCCGATCCTAACCCTGGCCTGTGGCTTTGCTTCCCAGCTGGACCTCAAACCTGCCTCATGGCCATGGTAGCGCCTATGACCTAGATTCTTTCTTGGATCTGGCCACAATCTCCAGGCTAGCCCTGGTCCCCTGCTGGGGGTGGTGGGATGGGCCCTGGCTGGCAACTTTCCCAGGACACTCTGTTTTTTTACAGCTCTGAAAAAGATTCATCCAAGTACTTGGCTTGACACTGACAAAAATCCTGGCAAATAACTGATGCCTCATTCCTCTAGCTGCTTTACAAATTATATGACAAACTTCCACATACCACACCTTCTGGGCATAAATTTAAGAATTATGAAAGTACCAGCACACATTATGGATAGTAAACAAAATCGGGGTAGTGAGTGAGAGGAAGGTACAGGGCTTGTGAGGGTGAATGAATGGTGTTTCAAGGAGATAAGAAACAGTGACAGAGGAACTATGAGAGAAAAAGGCATCCTGACATAAACTCACAGGCACATACATCCGAGATTGCTGCTGAACTGGATGAAGAGGGAAAGGACAAGTAACCTGCAGGCTACAAAAGCAAAGCAACATAAGCCCGTTATTCCTGCAGAAGTGTTACACACCAAAAATCAATCCTTCTAGGCTGCTCTTATTTCAACTCAGATTAAGTATCTTTTACCATTGTCTTAATACTGGACATTTTCTCCTACAATTATGGAAGTATTCATCATGGTTTCCTTATTTCTCTTAAAACTCTTATTGGACTTTTATTCCATGATAAAATTAAGATGAACAATGACTCATGAACTGCTAGCATTCATAGTCTATGGTTATGTAGTCTATAACCAAGAAGTCTATCCAAAATAAACTCTTTTCTTCTATATTTAGTCTCACTGTGTCCTGCCCTGGACTGATCTCTCAGTTCAAGAAAATCAATAAAAAGGACATGGAGCTGTTGGAGCAAGTCCAGAGGAGGGCCACAAGGATGATAAGGGGGCTGGAGCACCTCCTGTATGAAGACAGGCTGAGAAAGTTGGGGCTGTTTAGCCTGGAGAAGAGAAGGCTGCATGGAGACCTCATAGCAGCCTTCCAGTATCTGAAGGGGGCCCATAAGGATGCTGGGGAGGGACTTTTCATTAGGGACTCTAGTGGTAGGACAAGGGGTAATGGCTTTAAATGTAAACAAGGGAAGTTTAGATTAGATATAAGAAAGAAGTTCTTTCCAGTGAGGGTGGTGAGGCACTGGAATGGGTTGCCTAAGGAAGTTGTGAATGCTCCATCCCTGGCAGTGTACAAGGCCAGGCTGGACAGAGCCTTGGGCGACATGGTTTATTGAGAGGTGTCCCTGTCCATGGCGGGGGGGTTGGAACTAGATGATCTTAAGGTCCTTTCCAATCCTAACTACTCTATGATTCTATGATAACTGTTATTCATGCTGAACAGAGCTACATAACAGCAAATACAATCTAAATCTCATAGTGATGGCTTTCTGATTGGGCAATCTGTTTTCAGAATACAATTTACAAAATTACAAAATGCTCCCCTCTGCAATGAAATGATAAATAACTATAGTTCTGAAACAGCAATAAGTGTTCACATGTTCTGTGGCAATGATCCCTTATCTTTAGAGTTAAAGACCCTGATGATCTGTTAATACATAAATATGTGATGCACCTCCCCTTCAATAGAATCTTGTCATCAGAGTTTATGTTTAACTAAATCCCTCACTGAAACTCATAATAAAGGTTGATGAATCTTGTTTTTATCCTACAGCAATATAGGATACAAAATCACCCATACAGAAATATTGAAGTAAGCTGCAAGTGCATGTTGAGAGAAAATGTATTCACGCACATCTCTTGGAATGGATGACAACAGTACTCCAAATTCTAACACCAGTCTTCTGCTATCTAGCTTTTTGGCATGCCTCAGAAAAGAATATAATGCATCTAAGAGTTGCAGTTTATCTGAATATATTCTACTTTGATTTAAAGCAATATTTAATTACTATTAAAATTCTTAACACACAAATTACAAATTAGAGACGTAGGGTGCATGTAAAATGAAATCAGAGGCCTGAACTTCACATTCTAAGATAGTGAAAGAAATACTCAGCCTAGTGCCAAAGCAGTAGACGGTGAAACCAAAATATGAGCTGACTTGATCTGCTGAGGGTTTAATATATATATATATATGAAGAATTTAAAAAAACCCAAAACAAAGTGAAACCTTGCTAAAAGATATTTGAGTTCAAGGTGTATTATATTTATTGAATATAAAACAAAGCCCTTGAAACCTCCTTTCATGTTACATAGACACTTAATTCATTTAAGACAGAAAAAAAAAATGAACTCACAGCATCAGTTACATAGTGCTGTGACCTCACTGTATTTTCTCTGAATTCCAGGTCCTGAGGCTGGGTGAGTTACAATTCAAACACGATGCAATCAATTTTCAAGGAGAATCAATTTTCAGGGTCTCAAGGGACAGCAGCACATTGCTTCAGCACAATTCTCTGGCGCTACCAGGAGCTCTCAGTTGGCTCAGAAGGGATGCAGCTAAGTGAAAGATGAAAGAACTGCTCCACACCTCCAGCCTTGTTAATGTAAATGCTGCTACTGTTCAGCAGTGGAGTTAAAGCAAGTGTGAAAGGAAAAAGAAGAGAAGGCAGCAGGTAAAGGAGAAAATGTCCTGTGGAATACAGCTGAGCAGAAGATATTAAAACAGATAGATAGCAAAAAAACGATAACTCACCTCTCCTCACGATTCTGTCCCACACAGACACGTCCTCCATGCCGAGGGGTTGGATTGCTGCAGGAACGCTGACGAACTTGAAAGCCTATTCCACATGTGGTACTACAAGGTGACCAAGAAGTCCATGGTGTCCAGCCTCCATTTCTGGTAGAATAAAAAGCTCAGGCTCTGTCATCTGTTATACATAGCGAATGGCTGATTAGGTATGACTGACAGCAGAATCTGGCTATTAATATTTCTGTAGAAGTAATTAATACTGCATAATGTTCCATTTCTTAAAGAATATTCAACTAAAGGTGCTCTGATACTTCCATATTCCACACTTTGTAATCAGCAACTGCTAAAATGACCCATTTACACAACAAGTAAAGTACAGGTATGAAGCTATTTAGTTGCTTTCGGTCACTTTATTCTGTGTCAACTGCATCTGCAAACTCCTGTATCAAAGTTCTGAAAATAAATTGTAATTACATATTGTTCCAATTATTATTTATGGGTCTTCTTTCTAGGGAGATTAAAATGTCAAGTTTTTCTACCTCTTCTGAAAGCAAAATGATTAAATCCTGGAGAAAAGGAGGCTAAGAGGAGACCTTACCGCCCTCTTACAACTACCTGAAAGGAGGCTGTAGTGGGCTAGGGGTCAATCTCTTCTCCCCAGTAACAAGCAATAGGACAAGAAGAAACAGCCTCAAGTTGTGTCAGGGGAGGTTTAGATTGGATATTAGGATAAATTTCTTCACTGAAAGGGTTGTCAAGCACTGGAAAAGGCTGCCCAGGGAAGTGGTGGAGTCGCTGTCCCTGAAGGTATTTAAAAGTAATTAAAAGACATGTAGAAGTGGCGCTTAGGACGTGTTTAGTGGTGGAATTGGCAGTGTTAGGTTAACTGTTGGACTTTATGATCTTAAAGGTCTTTTCCAACCTAAATTATTCTATGACTCTAAAGGTAAAAGAGTTATAAGTAAGTGTCAAATATGTTAGTTCACAATTTCAACAGGATACTCCAATATGGTGCCAATACCTTACTTGTAATGCAACAAAAAGGTAAAAGAATTCACATGCTGTACTCTGTGTTTCTGAACTTCTGGAAAAGACACTCCTGTCCCTCCCCAGTATGCCCTAGGGAAAATATACTAGACCAAACATCTCATATTATGTCCTAAGCAAAAAAATGATGCACTTGGCAGTTCCCAAAACCTTTTGATCACTAGCTTGCAGTTTCTGTATTGGTGGAAGACAAAGAGAAATCAAGAAAAAATAAAACTAAATTATAATGAGTTCTTGAGGTTTCATCATAAATGCGAAAGTTAAAATACTGCACTGCTTGATTTTGAAATAATTTTTCTTTTGACAATGAAAACTAATTAAATCCAGTAATAAAAAATTATATAAGATTATTCAAGTAATATATCACAAATATTACCAGTTTAAATTTCACTCATATCGATGTCTCATTATTATAAGGGTTGACAACAATGAAGAAAAGCTTTTGAAACAAATAATCAGCTATCACGGCTAACCCAGACAAAAAAAAATAATATCTCTGTCAGTGCAATGCCTGACCCAAGTGGTAAAATGGACAAGTATCTGGATCTCCATGAATTCTGGGAATCAATTACTAATATAGCAGTGTTAACAGAAATAAGATTTTAAAATAGTAGTGTAATACTGCCAATGGTAGTATGTGAATTAAGGCCCAAATCATATTCCAAATTCCCTTCTAAACCTGACAGTCAATAGCTGTTTGATTGTTCAGTATCTCTCAGCATGCTTATCTTTTCTACCATTCTCCTGATGTAATGTTATACACTATATTGTTATGCTTTTAACAATTTCCCTAAAATTGACTATTTCCACTTACAGAGCTTGCAGTTATCTTGTGCAGAAGTTTTATTCACTACCATGATGTGCTTCTGACGTTAAAAAGAAAAAAGAAAAAAGCAGAGACAAAAAGCAGAAAGAATCATTGAAAATAAGCAGAATGCACCATAACATAAGTTTCAACTTGCAATTAAAATAACATGAAGTCCTAACGCAGTTCAGAATACGTAGTGGTCTGAGTGTCTCCGAAATGATTTATTCTTACTGGGAGTGGTCATGTGCCTGAAGAAAACAAAAGAGTGGCTACAGAGTGGCAGACAGACTGGTAATAGATCTAAATGTCACGGTACAGTCTAAAGATAGAATGAAAAAATTTTGCCTGAGGTAGAATGGGGGAATACAACGGTGATACGAGATGTCCTAAAAAGTGAAGAGTTCTGACTTTCATGAAAAAAGGTTCATAACTTACAGAACTGAAAAAAAGAATCAGACTTTGGATATTATCTAATGTTGATTTTTTTTTTTTTCTGTCTGAGCTTTTGTTAAAATTAGCTGAGGACAATATTGTTTGGTACACAGCATTTGAAATCACTGCACCTGGCTCATTCTCTCTCCCACAAAGTTAAAGAGATACTTTCAAATGTCTCATTTGCTGTGGACATTGCTATGAGCTGTTTCATGCACAGAAGAACAGGACCAGTGGGCTGCAGATCCAATTTCAAAGGGTAGGTTCTATTCTGATTCAGGTAAAAACTTTTGAACCATAAACAATAGAACCTGAAATTGTTTTGCGTACCTGGAACAGTTGGCAATTTCCATGGTTGGTCCTTCACACAGCCAACCTCCACACTGAGGCGCAGGACTGTCACACAAACGTGTCCTGCAAAGGCAGGAGCCAACACTGGCACCGTCAGTGTGGGTGCAAGGTTTCCATTGCGACCATGTTCCAAAATGCCCATCCACTGTCAGATTCCTCATCTAGAAACAAACACAACAGAAAGGCTTACCTGAGGCCCGACAGTTCCTTCATACAACCTCTTAATTCTGGAGGTACAGCCTTGAGCCAACAACAGTAAAAGCCTCCAATGGAGGGGTATTCCTTCCAGACAGCAAGCTCCCCTTATAATTTCTACAGCTGCATAACTCCCACCACCTCCAACCAACCCGGGCCACTGAATGCCACCAGTATAGCAACAACAATAATCATAACTGTTTGTTATGTTTCATAACCATGCTTACCCACAGTGATTCAACAGAAAGTATAGTTTCGCTTTCTCAATTATTTTCCGATGACAGCATTCCCTATTTCGTAATATTTATGGGTGATTAGGAACCTGGATACTGACTGTAAACCAGCATGCACAAGAACATGCGAAACTCCAAATATAGATCAAAAGGAAGAGGCATCACAGGATAAGGAAGAAATAGAGAAGAAATTCTTCACTGTGAGGGTGGTGAGATACCGGAACAGGTTGCCCAGGGAAGCTGTGGCTGCCCCATCCCTGTTCAAGCAACCTGGTCTAGTGGAAGGTGTCCCTGCCCATGGCAGGGGTTTTGGAACTGGGTGATCTTTAAGGTCCTTTCCAATCTAAACCATTCTGTGATTCTACAATAGTCCAGAGTAGCAAAACTGGATGAATCAAATTCAAATCTCTGTGATGAGTGTCTTCTTTTGGTAATATTTTTTTTTAATCACATACCATGTAACACCACTTCATAAAAGTGAAATGTGGTTTAAAATACAACTCTCTCTCCTAAAACCACCTTCAAAAAGCAGCACCTAACTTCTATGTGATGAGAGAGTTTTCTCCCACTGAAGTAAATTCTCAAGACCTTTGGCTGGAAGGGTCAGACGATTCTCATCTTGACTGGAATGTTTTCATCATGCAGACATAACACATGTTCATAAGAAATCTTTACTATCTAGCTGAAACAAAATATGCTAATAGAAAGTGCAGCAGCCTCCATGGTTACTGGAACTCCTAAAGAAAATGGGGCTGGATATGGGGATTTCAGCTCTCCTAACAAAGACACGATTTCATATTATGAAGTCTTTTAGCAAGGTTTTAATCCGAAAAATCTGTGATCATAAATGGAAATGATGGCCACTTTTTCACTTTAATGCTAAAGGATTTTCCTTTTGATTGTGACATTTTTAAACTTTCAATCAAAACAACAGTACTGACAAGTCACTCAGATAAAAATAAATACATGAGTTGTAGTCATCATATTTTATCAAATGTGTAAGAAGGTAACACTTCAACATTTGCTTATAAATCGAAATAGGGACTACAATCATAGATTTTTGTGAATGATCTGAAATGGTGTGTCCCTTTGCTATTTTTGGTATTGTTTTATTTTAACAGTGGTGAGGGAAGTATACATTTCACTAATAATTTGAGATACAAGAGATTTGCTTACAGCACGAGACATGTTCCCACTGCCATGCTGGGTGCTGGCTGATTCTTTCCACTGTGACAAAGGTTCCATAATTTCACTATTAATTAAATCTCTTATGATTTATTTTTTTCATAGATGCAGCTTCTCCACAGAACAGCTATGTGTACATTCTGCCAGCTACAACTGGCATTAACATAATTCATAATTTCAAACTTCTGCTGGCAGCTGTTTATTGAAAATAACTCTCCAACCTTTGCTCATGCAGAATAGACACTGTTGTTTTTCATAAAACAACAGGAAATACTTATTTCTTCTTAAATGACAAGTAAAACAATTCTCTCTTACACTGCTCATCTAACACATGCTAGTCCATAAACTAGCAACGATATGTTCCCAATTTAGTTAATGTCAGAGATCTAAAAATGCCTTTACTACTTTCTATTTCTATGCTGCACAAAACCATCTTTATTGTTGCACCTACAGTTATGAACTAAACCTACACTATGCTTTCTTGATTTTTTCCCACTGTAAAGATCACTGCAGGCTCTGCTGTTCCCCATGACTCACCATCTCTGTCTCTCTATGAATATCTTGCTTTCACAAATGATATCAAACAATTTTATCATTTATCATGTAAGAAAGCAAAAGGTACTGATGACAGCCCTTTTTAGCCCTCACCAGAACCTGTGTCCATTAACCTTGCACCATTAGACATACCTCAAGGGGAAAATCACAATCAATCAGACACTATTGCTGTACTTTCTTGGCATGGCTACATTCTGCTTTCCATCCTTACCACCCTGTTTTTGCCACCGTTTCCCTTCTGCAGATACCTCCAGTCCCTTTTTCCTTCCTAATGTCCTCCAAATATCAGTCTTTGTCTTGAGCTTCTCTGCATCCCACCTTGTCTTCCTGGTTTGTGCCTCTTCACTCTGCTTCAAGGTCAGACCTTCAGTGACCCAGTCCTTAAATCTGCCACAAGCTCTAGTTTGAGATTACTTTGTGTAAAATTCAGTGGCTCTAGAGTATTTCCTGAAGCTGCTAACAAATTTGGGTAAGATACCACGCTATATTCTTTCCTTGCAGGCAGCTGCAAAAATAAAGCCATTTCATGTTCCATACTTATGAGGAAACATCCCCCGTCCCCCAACTTTTTTTAAAATTACTTTTATTTCCCTTGTAAAAGCTCTTTGATAATGTCAGACAGCATATTTAAAGTGATTAATTGCAAGTGGTCCCAGTGGGAAGTATTTTGGTAAAACAATGCACCTTCAGTACTTCAAAAAATATTGGATGAATAATAGGGATATCTCACCAACTGAAAGAAGCTCAAAGTAGATATACATGCCATAGAATTAATTATCTATATTCATACATAAATGGTGTACTCATGCCAACTGAAACAATAACCTAAAAAAACCAACTTGAGAATGAAATCAAATCAAAACAAGATCACACAGATCCTCAGCTACACTCCTAGTCCTCTCCCTGCTCTACCATGACATGCCAATAAATATTCAGATATATGAATAATTCCCTAGGAAATAATTTCTCAAGTGCAATTGGTCACACTTCTACTTTTGGGCTAAACTAGTGTATAACCAGGCCTGTCTCTAATCCAAGTTTAGAAGAAATGCATGCATGCATTAATCTGACACATTTTCTTTAGTGTTAAAAAGATCGGTGTGGTTTTAATAACAATTAAGACACTGGAACCAATTGGAACCAAAAGAGGAAGGGTAGAAGGTTTCTAATATTCTGTTATGCTCTGCTTGCAACATTATCATAGATGTATATAGGAAATGCCAAGGATGTACATAGCTCAATTGCTTACAAAATGAAATTCATTACATCTTGGCTTATATATCCTGTGAATACAGCACATAAAATGCTATAAAAACAAATATTTGAAAGCCTCACTAAGTAAAATTGTAATTGATTGCAGTTTGCCAGAATACAGTGTTATTTTAGAGGAAAGTTCCTATTAAGTTTACAAATTTGTCCAATAATGTGTTACTCTGAGTTCAGAGGTAACAGACAGCAAAGTGGTAAAACCATGCTTTTCAATTTAGACAGTTAATTCTAAATTTGTCAGTTAATTCTAAATTTTTCCCTATATTATGCAATCTCAATCTGCTTAACTAAATCCCTTCATCTCTGATATGCAGTGTAAGTCTCACACCTACAGATGAATTTCTGAACATTCCCTTGGTGTTCTCTCTCTGCTTTGACTAGACTGACATATCCCATGCAACTGTCATATAATAGATACTAAATAATTGTTTTTCCATTTGAATGGAACAGAATTGAATTCTGCTTTCTAAATCATTCCTCTCTCTCTCTCTCCACCCCCTTTTGGCCTCATGTTTTGTATATATGAAAGAAAATAAGAGCTAATGCCAGAAATCAGACCAAGCAGTAGGCAGACTGCTCATGTGAATATCAACAAACCAAGCCTTTCCAGTAATCTTTACTGATACAGAAACCCAACTAGGACACCAGCAAACCCTCCACATACATAAGCACACTTGCCCTGTGAGGTTAATACAGTGAGATATGATACACTGCATATACTTGGGAATTAATATACTGTACAGTGCATCTAGCTGCCCATCAGAGAGCCAAGGACTGCACTAGTGACTGAACGCAGACTTTCTGTGAAACAATCACTATGTCTATATTAGCAAATGGTATGCATATAAACTGCAAATCTGAAAAATAAAACAGCTGGTTTTGAAGATTTGACACATACACCATACATATTTTGTGGGCTTTACTTTGGACTCACTCTAGCCGCAGATCAAAATCATAGTAGTAGCTGGAGCACGTTTTTGGTTTAATTTAATCCAAAAGTAATGTGGCTTGTGTGCTTCAAGATTGCTTTGTACTGTGAACCAAAGAATAGCTGATGGGAAAAATCAGAGTATTTGCCCCAAGGTTGCTCCTGATTTGAGCTAAAATGCTAATGCAGATGAATCCAACGCAAGTCTTTCTTTGTTATTAGGCCATGATGTGAGAGCATGGATGCAAGGTATAGGACAAGATATTGTTTAAAAAATTACTATTTAATGTCAAACACAGACAGTCAGAACACAGGAGCTAGTTCTCAAGGACCTCATAATCAGTGTAGTGATTTGTATCCATGAGGCTGCTGCAACACATGTAAATATCACAAGCGAAAGCTGGAAGAACTTCATACTAATTTTGCATGTCTAGTTCACTAAACAAAGTCTAGCTTATGAGAGAGGACTTTCAATAAAATGTTAAAGAAGCTTGTTAAACACACGGAGAATAGAACATGGATGTTGTATGAGCACAAATACATAGATGCATGTGCTCCACTGGTGAGTGGGGACAAGTTCAAGAAATACCTACTAGCAACGAAAGCAGAACTGAGTTGGAAAACCTCTGTCCTCATGAGCAGAAGGCACCAAAGACAAAGCAGCATGAGTTTCCACAGGAAAGAGCTTAGTAGCTCAATGAAGATCCTTCTTAACCCTCTTTTAGTGCTCTCCAGAGTGAGAGAAATGAACCAATATTAAAACAACACTGGAACCACATTAGAAAGGAGAGATGTAAATCAACTTTGATGTTTGGTTTTTATTATATAACATTTATTCAAAATTAATATTTAAAGAGAAGTGTTAAGCCACTGTAAATATTAATATTGAGTTTATTACAATTATCACTCCAGTCATGTATGTGGGGGAGACTTAACACATATGATTCACCCTTCAAATTCATGGACTTTCAAAGATGTTGTATGGCCTTTCATATCAGCAACAATGATCCTAAAAGAGAAGATTATACCGCTAGTGATTAAATTTTTTTGAAGTACAAAATGGAGCAAAATCCTGCAGAGAAAAACACGTTTGTCTTTCTAGTCTTAATGAACTTTTGCTTTCATTGTGGGAACACAGACATTATAGGTAAAATACAACTACCCTTGGAAAGCACTATAAATAATTTGATCATGTTATATCAATCATTTGATAAGAAATAGAAAATAAGTATCCTGTTAAAATGTGATGGGAAGGCCTGAGAAAAATAGCATTAAATACAGTTTTCTGAGTTTGACAAATCTATGTAGATCACTTTCACGAAATTTACCTAGAATCAAAAGTTTTAAGAGATAAATGGATGCATTTGGACTTACTGGACACACAGTAATACTTTGCTCCCATTGACTCATGCTCAGACTTTCTTCCAGTGTTGTACATTTCTTCATCACCATGTCCCAGCCACAATAAGGGTCTTGGGATCCAATGCATGCACTGTGAATGAAAAACAACCAGAAAACATGAACCTTTATCTTCATTTGTACTGGCTAAGGATCTCTAAATAACTATATGGCATCTCTTCATATTTCACAGTCCTTAAACAGACAGTGAAATTTATCCCTGATGTGGTATGGCACAGACGAAATGACAAAACAGAAGACAAATTCAGTTGAATGCCTACACAAAGTTAAGATTTCTTTCAAATATATACCTGAATTTCTGGCTGCATGCATGGTATGTCATCAAAACTGATTATTGTACTTAATTACTGGAGAATTACAGCAATTCATAAAAAGCGTATGTTGCTAGCTCCAGGTAAATATTTTAGGAGTTACAGTTCTTAGTCTTTTCTATCAGTTTTGGAATTATAAATCAGATGACAATGTCTATTCTTCTAGAAAATGCTTTGATTTGTTTTCTGCAGTATTACAGAATCCCCGGAAGTAAGTTTAAAGGGGTTCTGGTGGCTGCCATCATACCTCTTGCCCATCACATGCTGCTCTAGACATTCCCTCCTAGTGGCACATGAGGAGGAAAAAAGTTCAGAGAGAAGGAGATAGACTAACTTCCTACAGACTTTACAGACATTTTGTACAATGCACAAAACTAGAAGTTCTTTTCACTATGAAATAGCAACTTTCTCTGCTACTGGTAGGTCAAGCATTAACAGTTGAGGCTATAGGTCTGCAGCTTCATAGTTAAAGAAACGTAAGAAAGGAGGTGGAAATCCCATCACATAGAATTGTTTTAATATCTGTAAAAATACCTATAAATTATACATAAAAATGATAAATTCAAACATTTTGTCTAGATTATAAAAAAATGCTAGATCATTCTTGTTCAGCTCAAATCCATGTGGGTTACAATTTTCTTTTTAATTGCTGTTCAAATCACCTTTCCTGTGAGAGGTTGAGAGAGCTGGGACTGTTCAGCCTGGCGAAGAAAATGCTCAGAGGAAGGTTGTAAAGAAGATGGAGCCAGGGTCTTTTCAGTGGTACCCAGTGACAGGACCAGAGGCAGTGGGCACAAACTGAAATGCAGGAGTTTCCCTCTGAACATCAGGAATAACTTTGTCACTGTGAGGGTGACTGAGCACTGTCACAGGCTGCCCAGGGAGGTTGTGACATCTCCATCCTTGGGAGATACTCAAAAGCTGCCTGGATATGGTCCTGGTCAACTGCCTCTAGGTGACCCTGCTTGAGCAGGAGGTTGGTCCAGATGACCTTCAGAGGCCCCTGCCAAGCTCAGCCTCTGTGATTTGTGATTCTGTCCTCACAAATCCTGTGTTTTATTCATATTTCTATTTATGTCCAGCATTCCTCACGTAGTTCCACACTAACATCAGACAAAACGCAGACTTATTTATTCCCTAGTATGCAATTCCATAATACCATTACAGAGGGTTCTTAATGCTTATAAATTTTAAAGAATTGACTGTGGATTGCCAGTACTATGTGGAAGGATAGTTCCTATCTGCAAAATGGGCACAGAGTAAGAGACATAATAATCAAAAGTCCCTAGGTAACCTTCATTAGGCTGCCAGTTCAAAGATAAAGCTTTTGGTTTAAGGGATTCAGTGTTCAGAAGAGAGTTCCCATTAATGGCTCTTGCAACTGTGAGCGCTTAGCATTTCTGTAACTCAGGCTGCATGTTTCCATTTAACTATCTAGAAAGTGAGAAGGACAATTAATGGAAAATTATGGAAAGTTTTAAGTGTCTTAGTCTTCCAGTATTTGTAAGACAAGATGTTCAATATTCTCCTTCAGAACATCTCTGATAATGCACGTTTTATGGAAAAGAATAAAAAACAAAATTTAAGGCTGACATAATGCACATTTGGCAACATTACCTGTGCTACTTTTCCAACTTCACTATTCCTTTACATGATGTGTTAATTGTTTTAAATGCAGTGATTATGCTTTTGATGCTTTTTATCAAAACATAAAGCATTTTAGAAGCCAGTATGGTTTCATGTAGAATCACACTCCCTCCTTCCTGGCAGTAAGCTGATCCTTCTTCCACTGTGCTCTTAGATCCCATTTCCTCTTTTGATTTGTTTCCACATTACTTTCCACTCAGGCAAATCAAAATGGTTTGTACCTTTCATTGCAAGTCACTTAGATGTTATATGTAGGGCACTGAAAGCTATTTCAACCATTTGTATGACGTCCTGGTATCAGAACAGATCCTAGCTTCATGGAAGAAATAAAGTTTAGAAAATGCTGAAAAGTCCTTGCACTGCTGGGACAAAGCCTGTTTGATCACCCTGTAGACACTGAACAGGGCCATTTCAGTAGGCAACCAGGTTTGGAGAGCACTGCAGAAAGATAAAATGAGGGGAGTCTTCATAGAATCATACAATCATAGAATAGTTAG